CCCCCCCCGTTTGCTGGCCCCCGTGCAAAGCCCAGGTCTCTGCCACGTTTTGCTGGAGGGGAGAAAGCGCTTTACACCCCGCTGCTCCCTGCCAGAGCGATCGGCGGGCAGCGCCGGAGTGACGGGAGGCAGATGTGATGTCTCTAAAGGGCAAACTTCAGCGTGATTAGACAGGTCAAGATGCAGACCTGCTGGGGGGGCAGCCCCCCGTCCCCGTCAGAGGCCACGCAGGAAACCTCGCATGCCGTTCTCCAGCCGCTTTCATCCCCGAGGAATCCCCGGTTGCCACAACTCTCTTGATCCCGGCTTCTCTTGAAAACCCTCTTCTGCGGCGCTGCGTAAAGCGTGTGTTTATAAATAGCCACGTTCCCCCGTGGATTCCCGAGCGTGCCTCCTCTTCCAAGGCCCGGCTCTGCTGCAGATGTCTGCCCTGCCTGCACTGATCCAGCAGCACCAGAAGGGCTCAGCTGGCTTGGGAGTGGTGCTTGGTGCAGCCACGCCAGCAGCTGCCGCTGGTGCCGGAGCCCCGGTGCTGTGCGGGGTGAGCCCCGGCAGACCCGTGGCTGGCTATTCCACCTCTCAACCTGGGAAGAGGCCGTTTTCCTCTTCTGTGTGTCCCGGAGGGTGTTGGTGGCACGGAGCAGCCGGTGCTGCCGGGGCAGTGCCGGGGCAGGTGTGGTTACACCGTGAGAGCGGCTGGAGGGTCGAAGCTGGCTGCTGCGCACGGCGGTGGGTTTCCAGCATAAACCAAACACCAACCCAAACCCTCCCAGTGGAAACCAGTGTGACCACCAGCCCCGTTTGCCCTGCGTCCCATCCCTCCACCGCTGCCTCGGCCGCGGGTCGGGCTCCTCCATCCCCAAGCGTCAGGCAGGGAACTGGAGCGGGGCAGAGGGTGCTCCGGCTCCGCACGGGCTCTCCGCTGGCTGCCAGGGCTTTGGCTGCTTGGGACGGGATGGGGATTTGCAGGGGGCAGGCAGACGGACAGATTACGGGCCTGTCTGCTCCTCTAGCAGATGGACAGTCAGACAAATCTGTCTGCCTCTCTGCGCGCTGCTCCTGCCTAAAAGGCCTCGGGGACGCAAGATCTTGGCGGATGTTATTTTCCACTTTCCAGACCTACTTAAACTGCGTGCTGATTATTAATTTATTAGGTGTTAAGCGCTGGCGGGCTGCAAGGCAGAGCGGCGAGCGCAGCCCCTGCGCCAGGGGGTCGGAGTGGCTGCAGTCCCCCTTGCCCTGCCCCTGCCACCCGCCGCATTCCCCCAGCCCTTAATGAAGAATTAATGCAATTATTTATTCATGTATCTGGAGCCATTCACAAGCCTCTGATCATCTGCTCGAGGATTTTAACTGAGTTAGCGGGGGCCCAGCCAGGGCAACCAACAGTGCTGGGAGTAAAGCAGAGGGACTTCCATATTGATTTATAAATAGCAAAGGAATTAGCTAATTAGATATCTCCAGGGAGAGAATTCCAGCAGGGAGAGTGCGGGGCCAGGCTGTGCTGTGTGCAGGGGCGGACGGTAACGGCTTCTGCCACCACGGCAGCTCCGGCACGGGAATGGCCCTTGCAAACAGCCCTCGGCTAAAAATAGTAGCTGTGGGTTAGGGCTCAGGGTCTGCCTCCGTCATGCTGTCGTGTCCGCCAACCATGCCCGCCCGTGGTGCGGCTCCGGGACGTGGCCACTCGCCTGGTCCCCGGGGCGAGGGAGGCCCTGGGTGCGCAGCCCATGAGAGGACGGGGTGAAGGGGCTGGGGGACACCGCAGGTGCCGAGCAGGGCCGTCCTCAGCTGCAGAAGGAAAATCTTCTGAGCTTCGTGCCGGGGGATTTCTGTGGGGAAGGAGGGCTGGCCGGGGCCGGGCAGGCAGGAG